GTTTGGATCACCATTACAAAACAAAAAGTCTTCACTCAATCTTTACTCTCCTCAGAATTATAAAATATTCATAAACGATTTTAACAATTCATCTTACTGCTCAGGCCATGTTAGGACTTCTTAATAGTCTTCCTACTCTCTCCTGAGAAATTTGTTAGACTTATCCTCTTAACTTCCACAGTGGCGTCTCTTCCCTAAAACTCAATTCCACTGTTTATAGTTGTTTAGGCTTTTTTCTCTCTTCCCCTCTATTTTCCCTCATTTCTCATTTTGGAAGCAGATACTGTAGTAAGATATCTGAGACGGAGCACACTTTGGAATATCAATGGCAGGTCATTTCCTTTTAACATTTTAATCACACTCTTCTGAGCTTTTGGCTACTTCATCGTGGGTACAAAAACTTGGCCTATAGTTAGCCAATTTATGGGAGAAAGAGGCACAAAATACTTCTGAATTCTATTTCAATTTCTCTAATGCATCATTTCCCTTGAATTACATAAAAGAAGAACATTTTATTTTTAAATATACCTTTTAACCTTGACCTGATCAGATCAAATGTTTCTTAGTGTGCTTTTTCCCTCATAATTTTGAAGTGTTTTTGTAACTGAGTACTTAATTCAAATTATAAACTGGCTTTTAGCCAGGTCAGAGGCTGACACAGTCTTGGGAGGAGACAGCACCTTCTAAAGTCTGGGCAACATGGAAAACTCCTGCTCTTTTCCAGTGAGCAAGGTGAAAGGGAAAGCAGGGAGAGGAAAGGACAATGGTGACCTAGTTTAGCCCTCAATCGTGTCCCCCATAGCAATGAGAGAAGAATTAGAAAGCTGTCCCTGATCCTGCACTTGGTGAGCCTTAATCAGGTAGCAGGTAGGTAAGGCTCACACTCCTCACCGATCAGTGGTTTAGAAATAAGTAGTGCAGTGTCTCAACGTGCTCAAGTGGATGGGCTACATGATGCTCACAATCTTCCTATCTGCTTGAGATGATCTGGGAGACCATGGAGTTCCCTTGGGAGATGTCCATTCCCAGATGGCACCGTCTTCTCGCTGAGACGCCTTCGGGCGGCACTGAGCTAAATGCCAACATGTTATGCACAAGTTGGCTCAAGGAATTCCTTTGCTGTTCATCAGCAGTGGTTAATTGCCCGAGAAATCTCATCTTTATATCAAACAAGGTTGAATTAAGAACATTTTACCAGAAAAGTTTTAGATTATGGGCTACTATTTCTAGGAAAGTTTTTTCTTTGGTCATACAAGTTAAATTCTTTTTTTGGTGTGGAACAACCCTCTTTYAGGAAATAATCTGAATATTAAAAAGAGTTACATCATGAAAATGATGCAGGATATGCAGACTGATTTTCAAGAGATGTTTGTGATAACATTCTATTTTTAATAGGCACAATATTATAATGTTATTACATAAACTGATGGGAGCCTTTTGCTTTGGCAGCAGGAGGATGTGATGAATCCTACTGAGTTTACGGAAGCTTTCGGGAGCACTCGGAGGAAGTAAGAAGTGTCTTAAAGATCTCCCTACTATTTTTGTACTTTTGGAGGGCATTATATCTCTCAACTGTTTCCCTTACTCCTTTTAAAGCACTCAGATGTATCCATGCTGCTGCATTTTTCTATTCCCGCCTTTTGTGCTGCACAAGACACTCATTTCTTTCTGTCCTTCTTCCTTCCCAACCTAAACAGATTAAGTGGAATTACCATTCTAAAAGGTATGCAGGAGAGAGGGGCAGAAATGCTTCACTGAGCAGTCCAGGGCAAGCAGCAATAACTCTCTCAATGTTTTCACAAATCTGTCCTATTTCTGAAAGCAGGCTAAGACAAACACTCCCCAAAATCCTGGACACTTATGAATGCTGGACATAGAATTATGATAAAGATGTCATAGCTGACTTAATTTTAAGGACAGTTTATCTGATTAACCACAACCACCACCACAAGGTACAAAGCCTTTTCTCTTCCTCTTTTTCTGACATATTGCAGTAGGATTCTAACAGTGTCTCTGTCCCTCCACAAGGGAGAGGGATGGGAAGCCAGTCTAGCAAATGTACACAGCCAGGCACAGTCATTTTGCCACTCTGAACCTCCTCTAGTCATAAAACTCTTCCATACATTACTGTAGCCCTCTTGCCGCGTTAACGAGCCGCATCTTTGCGATTCGGCCGCTCTAGGTTTGGTGCTGACACTGTCCCACCATGTCAGCTACCCGACTTTGGCGCCAGCTTCTCACCATCTTTTCCCCAGAACTGCCTGCTCAGTGTCTGTCCCAGCCTTGTCAGGGTCACGTAGCCTTTATTTTTTTTTCTTTCTTTTTTAAACCAGGCAAACCAAACAGCTGAGCAGATTGCAGACAAGKGCCCTAGCTTTTTTACTAAAGGTTCAGGAGATGGCCAGGCAGATGGAGGCAACTATATTTACACTTGAGCGATTCGATTTTCCAAATGAGGCCACTGCAACACAGGGCAGCCCAACTGCCTGCAACAACCCTTCATCTGGGATTAGGACATACAAAGTGACTCCTCCTAGCCTCCTCTTTCACCAGCTTTTAGGAGTCATGTGGTGTCCAGCCAGAAGGTGACCTTCAGTTACAACTATTTTCATTTTATACTTTTCCAAATGAGAATTTATTTACTGMTTTCTGCATTCAGCTAGATAAATCCAACACTGTACATTTATTTTTCCTTTCTAATACAATTATTTTAAACTTCAAAATCTAATTTTATAGAGTAAGATAAATGAAAAATATTGTTCTTTTATGTTTTTCAGTGAGGCAATTAGCTGCACACACAATGCTCAGGAGTGACTATAAGTGTGGGGCAGGGAGTGCAGTCCTGCACTGCACAAACGTCTGGCTGACAAGTTCCCAACAAGTTCCTGCTCTCTGAAGCCTTGCCTCCTGCAACATCTATAGGAGACACATCTAGGAAYCACCACTTTACCAGGGCAAACTGATGCTTCCAGGGGCCTCAGAAGAGCTCTGAGCATTCGTCAAAGATGCTGACAAAATAATAGGATGTGATATGAATAAAATGCAGTCTCTTTTTCAAATACTACCATATATACTGCATCAGATGAACAAGGTAGGAGCAAACTTATCAGCTGGTCATTTCAACAACCTTATTGTTATCTCTTCACAAAATCATTTTAAYGGTAAAAAGATTTACAAAAAATGGATTTATCAATATTATTATCTCGTATTATTCCCATTTCACTTTTTTTTACTTTTTTATATTTTTTATATTTTAAAATATTTTAACTATTTTTTACTTATTAATTATTATTATTTCTTATATGTATCCTTTATGCTGTTTTAACAGAACTCTAAGTAGATAAAATGTTTTCTCTAAATTACAGCCATCTAGCACTGTCTCCAAATTCTCACATTTCAATTATCATTGAAATGTTATATAATGATATATATGATACATATATGTTATATAATGACAAAACAATACCTAGCCTTTTATTATGATGTATCCAGATATAGAGATTTTTGAAAGAAATAGCAAACAAACTTGAGCCTAAGACAACTTCTGTGCTACCACAAGGTAGAGGTTGCAATGCTGGCTCCTATCTCAAAGTACTGGATTTTTACTGTAGGAGAAATTTCCAAATACAGAAATCCTAAGAAGCTCAGGCTGATTACAGTGTGTTTGTTGTGTTTGACATCACGGAATAAACGGAAAGCTTTCCTGGAAGGAGACCCATTCGCCCCTGGCTTAGCATTCATTTAATGATGTTCACAATTATCTTCACAGCAAAGATACAGGCTTATTATGGGCTATCACTGAGCTCGCRGTGCCATGTCTCTTGCAGGAAATTGCCAAAATTTATACAGACTGCAATAAAAGCAATCTGTTTAAATTAGCTGTGTAGGAATTGCATACAAGTGAGAGTGCATGTTAGGACTAAAATGGGACATTGAGTCTGGTAGGTATAGCACATATCAGCATGCAGTCCCACACTAAGAGAGGAAATAAGGCTTTTAAATGCATCTACAGCAACTGACAGTTTATTTTCATTTTTCTTTAAAGATATTTCCTGCCCTCCRTGAAACCTCACTGATAAAAAAAACCCTCTGGAAAGAAAACTCTTTCTACCACACATTTTCTGGTTTGAGTGGTGAACGGGCTTTGTTTGTTTCAAAAATCAATTGCTAGTTCATTTTTATGGCACAAGAAAAGTTTCTCACCTATGCAAGATACAAACAAACAAAACAAACAAAAAAAGGTTTAAGATGGCTGTGAATGTATATAAAATTATTATTGTAATATTCTGTTCCTAGTTTCCAGAGTGAGGTATGAGAAAAGGTTAAATCCAACCCATGAACTCGAGGAGTCAAGGTAAGTGGCGGATGCACACTGGAGCACACAGAAATAAAAAGGCAATATAGAGGATAAACGCGATGGCAATCGGCCTAGGTGGTCTTTCCCTGCCTCTTACAGCCAAAACGTCACACAGCYGCGGAGAAAGGCCTTCTTCAGAAGCAAGAAGACAGTGCAAGAACTCYGAGGAAGTAGCACTCCTAGCAAAGCCCATGATCCCTAGATTACAAGGTAACTATGTAGATGACCGTATTTTGAGAAGTAAATCATACCAAATGCACACAGATCGGTGTTGAAGATCACAGTACTAAAGTCAAATAGATACCTGTTTCCAAAGCAACACACCTAGTACAAAATCCTAAAACAGTGCAAGTCATTTCGTGCACTAAATCTTGTAGTTTTTAAAAAATAAGTTTAATTTTTGGCCCAGTGCAGCATTTTATTCAGGGCTCATAATGACTGTTCCCCATTATGCAACTATTCTTTATCTTTTGCAGTTCAACACTATCTTCACAGAAAAACAAACAATATATTGATTTTTCATGGGAACTAAACATGATATTTTTGCTGTGGTTTTGGCCTCCATTAAATTAAAAACAAATTCCTCATTATATGTTTTAATTTTACAAAATATAAGGTAACATTTTTTTTTGCTAGATCTTACCTTATCACTTTCTGACTTCTGAAGAGTTCTTTGCTGATCAAAACCTGTCTCCGTTCTGTGTAGACTCTCTGCATGTTCTTAATATTCTTCTCTTAGGTATCTGTCCATGCAGTAAGTTTAGAACACTTCCTGCAAGAAATGGTAAGGACAATTATGGATAGTTATATATTTTTAATTAATAATGAAATACTCAAATTTCATCTACATCAAAGAGCTTGAGTTCTTCAGCACGCCTGAATTTTGCTGACAAGTTTCCTTAGATTACTAAAGCTTGCCCTTTTGAAATAATTAAAAACACAATTTGTAACCTCTTTGGTTTATGTTTTTGTTAGACATAGACCGAATTTAATCAGGGTCACTCAATATAGAATTAATTTCTATAATCAGCTCTTCTCAGAGYTCTCTGTTACCATGCAGGCTGCAAGGTTATACAGTCTGATCCTGAGTCTGTCAGCTGGAATAGCCAGAAATTCATTGGCCTGTCCAGTATTAGTAGTGATTTGTCTCCAAGAGATGAAAAAGAAACCGAAGTGTCCTTCAGTTAACCAGTTCTGTTTAGAATCAGCTTTTTATTTTTTTTTCCTAATAATATTAAATCCATAGTCAAAATCTGGCCCTGGGGTCTTACAGAAGGCCTCTGGTTAATCTAATTCACTTAGAGTAAATAACAAATGAAACTCATCCTGACACTATAGTTTAGTCTGTACCAGTTGTGACTTCTGAGTCACAGGCTAGGGGCAAAACATTCTGGTTTATTCAAAAATAATTGGTAATTGACTGTTTCCAAAGCAAGAACATGGAATCCCCCATTCACATAACGACACCTTTCTTTATGCTTAAGCAAAGGCTCACATCAAAGCAAAATTCTTTTATCTAAAATTCTGCTTAAATGATCCACAATTAAATAAGCAAAATGAGAAACATACCCAGAGGAGAAAGATATTTCTACATATGTCAGGATACATAAGTCACATGTCCTTTAATCTTTCCAAAAATTCATGAGCTTACAACAGGACAACTAGCGTAGAAACTGGGCATCTCTGAACTACTTTCACTGATAAACCACCAGGAAGTTTAAAATAACAATGCTTCCTATACCATTTAGGTGACAAATTCAACTAGATTTGGACTTTTAAGCACATGAGCTTATTTCATTTGGGTCCTCAAGACCAGAACATCCTCCAGATATTTCAGAAAACCTTCCAAAATTATGGTAGCAAGAAGGGAGCATTGCTTTGCTCTTTCTCCACAGCATTTGTATGCAATGTGTCATGGCAAGTATTAAGGTCTCTTATTTTTATTGGTCATCAACACAGTCATAGTATTTCATGTGCTTACATAAAGATTAACACAAAGGCTTCCTTCCAAAGTCCCCTATGTAATCACTGATAATCCACCAACTAACTCACTGAGCCAGAAAACCCTGGAGCCTGAAAGGAAGATAAGCAGCAAGGGAGGTGCGAAATGCTGGAAAAGGATGGATGTGTCCGAATGATGGGATGACAAGTGGAAAGGGGTCACTTCATGACCCACCCTGCACCTTATGATCATCCTCACCTCGTATCAGCTCCCTCCCTGCCACTTACCTGGCCTCCTTCCAACATATCACCTCCCCTTCCACTTATCACTTCACCTCACCACTTACTACACTCTTTTTCTATAAATCACACCTCCTTCGATGATATCATAGAATCACATGCATCACAGGAAAATAGTTTGCATGTAACAAGTAAGGTTTTATGCTAGAATTCATACCTTAAGAAGAGAAAAAGAACACGATCCAGTTTCAAATCCATGGTCTGGGTGTAGAAGCAGGTCCAACAAGGAATGAAACAATAGAAAATAAACCAAAAATTGCTTGAGAAAAATAATCTAAAAAGAAAACTGTTCTAGCACACCTTAATCATAGCATATACTAAAATAAATAAATAAATGAAATAAAATGTGGCAACCTGAACAACTATCTGTTGACGTGGAGAAGAGCATAGCTGATTAGGATAGACAACTGTTTGTCGCCTTTTATGAATAGGATTTATAGTTAATTACCAACCATCACTTCACCTTCTGCAAGTCAGTACAAAACATTCTGGTATGTAGTTTGTTTACTCTGCCTTGGTTAGGAATTAATCTGCCTTTTTAATAATTCTTATTGTTTTTTATTGGATTGTCAGTATTATACAATCCAGCTCTGAATACTCAAGCAGGTTCTACTAAACATATTTGCATTTAATTGCAAGTAAACCAGCAATTAAAGCTTAACTTTTTTCTTAATTAAACTCCAAACAGCAAATCATCATTACTAAGACACCCTGCAGGGGCAGAGATTAGAAAGACAAAAGCAGACCTGAAAATCTGTTTATGTGCCCGCAATGCAATATTTACAAAACAGTATCAGAACAGTTTGTATAGTTTTTAAAGCAGCAAGAATATGGTAACAAATAACATAAGAGTGAATACTTTATGCAGTTCCACGTTCTCTTCCCCAAGGAAAAACTGCCTGTCAGGAAGCAGCAGAAACAACCCAAACTTGGCTGCTTAGATTGCTAATGAGGCCTGACCTTGATTCTCAGCTTCTCTGCATTCACCTGGGTCACCTGCGCTGTCTGGTCCCAGCCAGCCCAAGTGTGACCCATCTCCAACGGCATTAACAAATTCCAGGTGCCAGAGCCAAGCTCTTGGTGATAATTTACTGATATTTGGCCCTTCTTTGAATAGGAACAAATTTGGAATGCACTTATAACTCAGATGCGTTCAGATTCCTGTGCTACCTCTGCTTTGCATGATGCAAATGCAAAGCCTATTGCTTTGCATGGACACAGGCTACTTTCCAGGACTCTAGTGGAGAAAGAAGAAGTAATAATAAAGATTTGCAGAGTAAACTAGTAAATGTAAGACAGAGAATGATAATTTATATTGCTCAGGCCAAATAGAGACTCACAGGTTGGTACAGATGATCAGTTGATTGTTCGTGAGACTTAATATATCCATTTATGGACTTTTGTTTTGTGTATTTAGAGTGACTCGCATGATGTGCTGTGATGCATGACCTTTTTCTGGGAACTAGAATAAAATAAATATTTATGAATTGATAGCAGTATCCTCAATATTCAGACTAAACAATCACAAGTCACACCCTAGAGACTCCTGAGCATTTATTAAAAACTACATTGGGTCTGTTTTTAATTGTCTTTTGATTTCTGAGTCATAGAGACAGAGGTCACATATTCAAAAGTTCGTGAGCAAGTGTGACGTCTAAGACCTTACTTATTTTTCATTTTTACAAAGCTGAGATCCGTAAATAGCTAATAGTTCCCATAAATGAAACTTTAAGGCAAACAAGACACGTTATTAAGTTCACAATAACCCAGAATTGTAGTCAATCACATTCACTGAATTCAAGGATTACGCCTGAATTCTCCCTTTAATATGTGCGCGTTTGTACATGAAAGTAACAGAGTAAGAGAGATAGAGGGGAAAAAAAGAAAAAGGTATCTCTGGCTTGAATCCATTACAGGAAGCATTAAGCAATGTTAATTGTAAACTTGATGTTTAGAATGATCTCTTTATTTTATTATTTTAATACCATATATAATTAATCAGTACCTGTAGGTATCACTGCTGCATTTTTTTTTTCTCAGATATTCAAAAGAGTYAAAAAACAGTCTATCATGACCATTTACAGAGAGAATGAGGAAAACTTCCATGTAGACTCATGTAAGACTGGGTGACCTGAAAGTTCTATGAAAAAGCATATTTAAGAAGTTCTTTTAAATGAAAAATCTGCTCAATTTATGTGGAAACTGTTTATCATTTAGGCCTAAAATAATTGTCATTGGATCCAAAATCTCATCATTGTTTTCAAAGGATTTATATTGTCAGTAGGGATGAATTCCTAGCCAACGCACACACAGAAAAGCAGATTATGTGAAAGTAATGGTCTAACACATTGATATCATGGTGTGCTGATGAAAGAGCTACAGTAAACTTAATTAAAATGTAGTAAGAAAATTGGCTCTATGCCCAGTTGTTTCCTTCTATTCTTTTATGAGAATATTTGAAGGCTTATGAAAATAGTAGCTTACTAATTTTCTTGTGTTTATCTTTGTATTACCAAATAACTATATATGAGTTCAGATACAATAAATGCACAATTGACTACATAAAGCACAACACTTTAATTGAAAGTGCATAGTTTTTCAGTTTCTGCTCCAGGAAGACATGACTGGTAAGTCAGGCACTGCATTCAGTTAGCATTTCTGATACTGCTATAAACCTCATTTACACAAAGCTTTTATAATTGTGGGGTAACTCAGAACTCAAGGAGATGGCTCATGCTTGGGCACARGGTTTATTTTGAGACACTTGGGAGCTCTACAAAAAGAAGTGAAAGTTCACGGTAACATCTATGAGAGTAATAGAGAAAACACATGTATATTGATAATCGCCTAGAAGACCAAAGCAAATCATTGTGAAATAAAAGAAATGACCCTTAGAATACCTATGCAGATAAAGATATTTATGGTACTCACTGATTTCTTTCATTCAAGACCTTCTTTGTATCAGATCAGAGACTATCATCCGTCCTGGTGAACATTCAGTAAGCTTTTCTAGGTTGACAAGCAAGTTGTCCAGATGAGACTTTGAAAAAAAAAAAAAAAAATCAAAATCCACTTCTTTGCTAAAAGATCTAAATCCAATTGACATGCATTTCTATATGCTCATGCTCTTATCTAAATCTACATCTATCTCAATATCTGAGATTTCCAGAAAGGGAAAAATWTAGTGTCTACAAAAGTCTTCAGAAGGTTGCTACTTTCAAGTAAGTATTTTGATCAGTTGTCAAGTACTGTTTTAATTCTCTACACAGTTTTATTCACAAGATATAGTTTAAGACATTCAGAATCCTCTATGAGATGTCTGGACAGATTTTCGTAAGAGTAATCACTTTCAACCTGTGAGATAATGTTTTCAGCATTTAGTAAAATTCAGAATTTTTAACAATTAAAGAGTAAAGAGGAATATGACTGAACAAAAAGAATAATTTGAGGKTTTTTTTTTCAGTTCAAAATACTATTCTTCTATAGGTTCACAAATGAATAAATAATGTTCCATAT